TTCGGATTTAAACGGGTACAGGAGTGTCAATTTTTTTCTTTAAGTCCTTTTATTTCTCCATGGTGGTAAAATTTATATGAAAAGGCAAAAACAATACTCCATTTTATTCTAAAAAGAAAAAAATTTAACAATAAACTAATGCATGTATTCTAATGGGCTAACCACTAATCATAAAATAAAAGAGTTGAATAGGCATGACTTACACGAGATTTGTCCATCAAGTAAAACAAATGAACATCATGGGTTTGTCATTCTAAAACAAGCTATTTTCTCATAATATATATTATAATATTATTTTATATCTTAGTAGCTAAAATATAATGTATTTTAAAGTTATTCAATGGTTCAACCTCGACCAAACCAATTAGTCCAATTTTTATCATTTCAAATATATATTATGTAATTATTTAATATCATAATGATTAAATTATAGTGTATATTATAGGGAATCATTTGGTATTTGTTAGTAAAAAACTAAACAGAAAGATCTATTTGGTTATTTTTAACATTAAAACGATCCTAAACATTTTCAGTTTCCTTTCGAAATTCTATAGTTTTATTCTCGAATCAGTGATGTGCAAATGGCGAATTGCAGTCATCTCTTTTCTTTCATTATTTTTTATTTTCAAATAGAAAGTTTAAAAGTAAAGAATAATTAGAGTTTGGCATGGGTTGGTCAAATAGGCTGAATTTCAAGTTTTGGCCCGTTTTGATCAAGTCTAATTTATAATCACATGGTTCACTGATACCCGATAAAAATCTCAATCCAAACCAGTTTGGCAGGTGAGTCTGTGTTTACCACCATTTTCTAGGGATATAGGAACTGTGGTTCCTATCCCAAATCGTGTTGTTCATTCTTGATTTTATCATGGCTTGGCAAAAACCAGAAAGTACAATGATGACAAGATGAAAGTTTTATAAAGCAAATTAATCGGTCACTGGGCCGAGTAAAAGCTAGCAACGATTGTGAGATGCTAATTTCCCGAAAACCGGCGGGATATGCGATTTTTTATTCGATTTCTGGAATTCGGTTTCTATAAAACTTACTCTACCTCATCATATTACCAGAAACAATATTGTTTCACAAGGTAAGAGGTACTTGATTTTGGTTCATAAGGCTGATTTTTGATTCGTTGCATCATTCATGTCTCTTTCCTATTAAAATTCACTATTTTTATCACGTGTACAACAATAAGCTACACACCCTATTACATTATCAAATTTCATACCTCACCTTCCTCCGGCCAAATGGCCGGGGTCCAACGCTAGTATTCTTATATATAAAGTTGAAGTAATTTTACTGTTGCCTATCAAATTACATATTAGTCCTATAAAATTTTACATTTTGATACCCCAAATTTAATTTTAATGTAAAATTATTGAATAATTATTTTTGGTAACTAAATTTTATGAGATTTTGGTACCTACAATTTTTTTAAATTTAGATATTGGTCCAATGTCTATATTTCACTTGAATCTATGAATCCAATCCACCAATCCTTTTGAACCAATCCATGAATCCAATCCACCATAACATAAAAGTATAAATTTAGTTTGTATCATACAAGATGTTGTACCACTCAACTGTAGGATAAGATTCGACCATTTTATAATTGCTCATTACGTGAAACATTAAATAAATGATAGAAGAGAGACGACTCTAAATATTGTAAGGAAGAATTTATAAACTCATTTAGTACATTTATGGGGTACTAAACAAACTTCTACTAACTACATGTAACAAAATATGCGACATTTATAAGGGTGTGCAACGGTTCAGTCCGGTCGGAGCCGGACCTAACTCATGAGAACCGCAGTCTATTAGTGAAAATACATCTTAGGACCAAGGACCGTACCATCATTACATTCGGTCCATTTGGTTCGGTTTGGTTCGGTTCGGTCTATCATTTCTTTAGTAATTGCAAAATTCATGTGGACCGAGGACCGGACCGCATTATACTTGGTCTAGTCCGGTCCTGGACTGGATCATTGCACACCCCTAGACATCTAAATAAGCAAGTGTCAATAAATTGTTACGGTGAAAAGGGTTGACTGTTGTATTGACGACCAACTTAAAGAATTGGTCGAAACCTTTTCATCGTCTACTTCCTATTCGTTTCATTTTTCACTCGCCTTCCATAACCCTTTATTTATTTAATTCTTTGCTTTTTTCGTCAAACCCTAATTAGTATACTATTTTTATATATTCTAATCACAAGTATGAACGGGTCCATACACGACTCACCAACAGTTTAGAGAATTAATAATTGAACCAAGAACCACTTATTTTTTCAGCTTAATGTCGAGTACAAGTAAAAATAAATATGGTTATTACTTATTAGAAAATTTTCATTCCACTATGGTATTCGAAGGCGTGAAATTTTAAGCGAGTTCCAGTTTGTATTCATTTTGCTTCTCTCTAGAGTTTTTCTTTTTTACCTGGCCTAGAATTTTCTACAATTATATATGGAATGTTTGGCTAGGTATATACACATATCAAATATATAGTTTTCATTTTTCTATAAGAAAGTAAATAATTATCTTCATAAATACATCACCATAAAAGTAATTAATCCTCAACCATGCAAATTAAAGTTTGGTATCTAAACTTAATAGATATTTAGATTTATAAAATAAATTTATTTTTTTGGCATATAAGTTCTCAAAATATTGTTGGAATATTATATTTTAGTCCTAAAAATTTGATGTATTAAATTTTGGTACCTAAACTTTTGAAGTTCTACAAATCGGTCTAATTTTTGTTTGTGTAATTAAAGTACCCTCGAATAAATAGGTATTCATACCCAACTCATACACATTTAGATGATGAAAGTAAATATTCACACCCTACCCAAACCCATCTACAAACTTCCAAACCCATATATATGTCACTCATACCCTACCCATAATCAATGGGTCTACTTGGGTTGAGGTAAATATCATTTATTAGCCAAAATTTTCAATTTTTTTAAAATTCGATGTTGACCGCCATATATCTCTTCTTAGTCAATATCATAATGTCAAGTCAATATTACTAACAAAAATGCTAACAAAACACACTAACGGGTCACATAATACATGCCCATACACTATCTTTCCCGTGCCTAATAACAAATAAAAAGAGAAAATCGCTCAATAGATTGTCGATGTGAGCACTTCTACTATGCTATATAGTATTGGTGCTTTAATGTACAACTTAAAGTTGTACCATAACATTAAATGTATAAGTTTAGGTTGTACCATAAAGCAATTTGTACCATTATGTTATGGTACAACTTTACAACTTGAAGTTGTACCATCACATAAAAGTACAAGTTCAAGTTGTACCATAAAAGAATTTGTACAAAAAGTATAGGTATAATTTGAAGTTGTACCATAAAAATAAAATCCTATAGCATCAATACTATATAGCATTGTAAAATTTCTCTTGTCGATGTATCTCTTTCACTTTCATATTGCAGGAAAGTGAATCAAGAGAAAAGAAGAGTCTCGACATTCAAGGAGCTAGCCATTGCAGACTCAGAGAAAATATAAAAGACAAAGAAGACAAAACTTAAAAAGTGTGGTTGAAATCAAAAGCTATCAATACTCTATGATTAGCAATAAGGAGTGAGAAGTTAACATGTTGATTTAAGTTATAAAGAAAATTTATTATTATGAATAACTGTGAATATCATAAATTCAATCGAACATGGATGTAATTTGGTATCCTACTCGTTTTTATATGTGTAAAAGTAAAATTCAAACTATTTTAAATAAAATAATGAATATGTACTATTAGTTCCCAGACATATTGCCATTTGTTTTGCACCCCTATCTTGCCGCTCCATCCAACAGCTCTACAATCTTAGTCTCCTCCTACTCTTGGTTGCCTCAACTTGTCCTGTGGAGTTGGTCGCTTCCAGTGATGATTTACTTTTATGTCCAGCCTTCACCTACAAGATATTATTCTTAAGGAAGCCTCGGAACTGGTGGTTGATGAACTTGCTCTTGTTAAGAACTACAAAATGGTGGGTGGTCATAATCTCTAGGATTGTTTTACGTATCGTTTGCTTTTGTGATTTGGTTACTCAAATCCTATCCATCATGGAATTGACACAAATTCATAATTTGTTAAGTAGTACAAATTCGTGGGGCCATGGATTTGGACCTATTTTTTAGATCCAAATCCACGGATTTGCAAATCGCACATTTCATTTGAGATTTGATAATGGAAGGCAAAATGTGATACAAATTACATGATAAAATTAACTAAACAAACATACTCTTCCAAATTCATAATGCAATAAATCCATCATAAATCCAAAAGTTTTTAAATCTCAAAACCCTCATTTTCAAATCCAAGAAGCAAACCCTCATTTTCAAATCCAAGAAGCAAGATGCTGACAGTTTTAAATCCAAGGCTAGAGTTTAGAACGATTGGTAAGACTGTCAATTAAGCTTCTTATATAGTGGCACGTAAGACTAAAGTATTAGTATGAGTCCTACGACTAGTATTATGTTATACTACAAGTACTATTATGTATTTGGGTAGAGTTCCAATTCTTATCAGAGTCATAGAAGTTAGGTATATTTTTCATATTAGTGTTAGGGTTATTATAGGAGTCAGTCATTGTGCTCTATATAAATCCTATGTGGTTTCAGTAATAAGATACAACAGTTTCCACCGAATCTGATTTCCTAATATAAAGAGGGGCAATCATGGCATCATGTTGTTATGAGAATCAAGTCATCGTAACTATTGGGCCTCGATTTTGGCTTGTGTATTTTATTATTTAGTCTTTCGTTATTACTTGTCTTATTTATTGTTTTCACTGTTCAAGTAGGATTTTGTTTATTATTTAGGAGTTAATTATTATTTCCTTGTAGGTTGGGTTTCATATTTTGGTTAGGAAAAAAAGGAGAGAGAGGTCGCCAGCCTAGTAGGAAGAGGACTAGGATTTTGGGTTTTTGGTTTTCCTATCCTATAAATATGTACCTTGTATTTCGTTTAATATTATGAGACAATTGGAATTCAATAGTAGTTTGTAGTTTATCCTTCTTTCGCCTCAATTCTCTTCGTTCTAAGTCTCTTTCTTACGTTTATCTATCGATTATGACGACGCACGTTGCGTGAAGGTTCTCACCGGAGAAATACACGTAAAAATTGGTATCAGAGCCTGGTTGCTAACTACAGGATCCAAGAGATGGTGCCTAAGAAAGGTACACAAACATCATGTGCATATGAACCATCCGCGTTCGAAAAGGAAGCCTTCCAAGGCGTCCTTCAAGCCCAGCAAGCCGCGGTCAGACGACTCGACGAGGTCATTCGATGACAACAAGGGTTCGAGGAGGGGCTCTTGAAGGTGGATAGTTCCGTGACGCAACTCCAGATATCCCTAGCGCAACAAATTCAGGCGGCTATCACGCAAAGCCAGGCGGCCATGACGCAACATCTTCAGGAGGCAATGGCGCAACAGCTGGCAGCAATTGCGTAGCATCAGGCAGCCATGATGGAGGCGATGCACAAGCTGATCGCCAGCTCCACCAAGGAAAAGGCGACTTCGACTTTGTTTCCAAGGCAACATTCGACTGCGGATGTGTCGACGGAGGAGAAGCTCAAGGGTGTGATGGCGGACAAGGAATTCGCCAAGTCAAATGAACTTAGCGGGGCAGGGCACGGAGCTGGCGACGGCGGTATCAACAGAGACGAGGCGAACAACGAAGGATCGATCGTCGTGATCGGTCTGGAATGGAGAGCTCTCGCAATCAACGGCGAAGCAGCCGACGAAGCGAAGGCAACGGAGCAGGGGAGCAAAAGGATTCGCGAGTTTTGTTTCCATCGGGCTGCACCGACAGCGACATGAGTCCGGTGAGTTTCGCACTGGGGCTTGCGGAGGGGGAGTTCTCGACAACTCTTATGGTCCACCAGCGGCCTGAAAGCGGAGCGGGGTTGATGGAGCGCAAACGGTAAGACCGGAGCAGGCGACCCAAGCGGGCCGAGCTGGCCTGGTGGGCCGGGCGGATTGGGTGAACCTAGCGGGCTGGGTTGGTCGGGCGGGTCAGGAGCGTCTAGTGGGCCGGGTTGGCAGAACGGGTAGGGTTGGCCGAGCGAGCAAGAGGACTGCGGTGTGTATGGGTCAACTTGAGGGAAGGGATCGATCCGGTTCAACGAGAAAACCGGTCCATTTCAACATAAGTTGACTCGATTGGAGTTTCTAAAATACAATAGAGGCAAGGATCCATCTGAATGGTTCGCATGAGTGGAGCAGTTCTTCAAATTTCAGGAAACTTCAAAAGAACATAAGGTGCTCTTGGCGTCTTATCACATGGAGGGTGACGCCAACCAATGGTGGCAATGGTTGGATTGAGCTTACACGACATCGAGGTTAACCATGACATGGCTCCAGTTTCGGGAGGAGTTATGGGTGAGGTTTGGGCCGTCCGATAACATCTCTTTCCACGAGGCGCTCACTAAAATTGAACAAATTGGTTCCTTGAGCGACTGTCTATTGACTTTTGAGAAATTGGGTAACCGATGCTTTGAGGGAATTGAAGAGACGTTAGTGGGCTCAAACCAAAAATATTTGACACAACCCACATGTTCAAACCAGAGACTGTACGAGAGGCAATACGACTTGTTAAGGTCAAAAACGAGGAACTGGCGAAGCATAGGGGAGTGCAGAGGAATCCACCACGAGCGCCAATTGACGCCGTGACAGAGCCGCCGCCACCACCGCCGCGATTTGCACCACCTCACAACCCAAATGCTTGAAGGATGTCGCCAAACGAGGTAGCACGTTGCCGCAAGGGCTTTGCTTCCATTGCGACGAGCGTTTCACGATTGGCCATTGTGGTGCCAATTAAAACGTGCTCCTAATGATTGGTGCATGTACTGATGAGGAGGAAGACCAATTCATCTACGAAGATGAGCAACCTTAAGGAAAAGTTCATTGTGAAGGGGGGAGGAATGTTACTAGAATCCAGCCATAGTAACAATTGGGCCTCAATCTGGGCTTGCATATGTTATTATTTAGTCTTTTATTATTACTTATCTTATTTATTGTTTTCATTTTTCAAGTAGAATTTTATTTATCATTTAGGAGTTAATTATTATTTCCTTGTAGGTTGGGTTTCATGTATTGTTAGGAAAAAGGAGAGAGAGGCCGCCGGCCTAGTAGGAAGAGGATTGAGATTTTGGGCTTTCCTAGCCTATAAATATGTATATTGTCTTTCGTTTAATGATATGAGAAGATTGGAATTCAATAGTAGTTTGCAGATTATCCTTCTTTCACCTCAATTCTTTTCGTTCTAAGTATCTTTTTTACGTTTATCCATCGATTACAACGACGCACGTTACGTGAAGGTTCTCACTAGAGAAATACACGTAACACATGCTCTTTATCCTTCCATTACATCTTGGGTAAGGATTCACATCAAACACTTTTCTATCAGGGAAACCAACGGATGGAACCTACATTAGTGGTAAGTCGTTCCATCAATAAAGAAAAGTTTAAAGCAATGGAGGACGTGCTTATGTCAAACGCGCCTTTTTTGCCCTTATGGCCCGTTAATTGATATCAACTCAAATTCTACCTCTCACTTTAATCTTCGACTCTCATCATTCATATATCTCATGTATTATTCGTTTTTTTGGGGATTGATGTTTGAATCATTAGAAGCCATGATTCACATTGTTATTGATCTCTTCATTTCGATTACTTGTCAAAAGGAGAACATATATAGGCGTGCTTTATGTAACTTTATAGTTAGTGATTACTCATTAATGAGGTGTACATCATTAGACATTTGTAAAGATTTTAATTTCAGGGTAAAGTACTTACTAGTTTCTACGGGTTTCTATATACATAATTTTGATTAATATGGGTTGTTTGGAAGTTGCGATTGTTAAATAGATGTATTGTTGAGAATGCATATATAATATTATACATGTATTGTCGAATTTGATGCATTGTAGAATACAACATTTGGTATGTGTGATTGTGTATGTCGCATCAGCTAAAAGCTTAGACAAAACAATGTCAACTCAACTATCTCAACAATCACAACTAAAAGTTGAGATATAACAATCACTCAAAATGAGTGATAGTTTCTGTCACATCACAGAAACAATCAATGTATTGTTTCTGCTAAAAAAACAAAAAAACGATGCATTGTAAACAATACATGCATAATGACAATCTCAACAAAACAATTGCAACTTCCAAACGACTCCTAAGATTCGTAAAAGTATATGGTTAAAATTCATATATGAACATTTTTCAACAATGAATTATTGGGATCAGATAGTTTATGAAATAATATTAGAAATTGTTTATCCTTAAAATCATGTGTTCAAATCCTCATTACCCTCAATATTAATCGTTGTCTTATAAAATATATGGTATGACGGGCCTATGCTAGTTTCAAAATTATTGAGACTAATTGGTTTATGACACAAAATTCTTTCCACAAAATAAGCTATGCAATTCGATTGCTTCATCAAGAACGAGCAAAAGAGGAATTTGCTCTGCAAATAACTCAAATTATTGGGATAAGTTGGTTTGTGAATTATGACACAAAATTCTTTCCCAAAATACGCCATGCCATCTAGAGTCAACAAAAGAGGAATTTGGAGAGCTAGGATAATCATCATACATGAACATTGCTATTCCAACAACTCAAATATTGGTACTAATTGGTTTGTGAGACAAAATCCTTTCCACAAAATACGCTATTTTGCTTCGTCTAAGAATGAGCAAAGAGGTACTTGGAGAGCTAGGACATTGTCCTTCACATAGCGAATGAAGACTATGCTCATCTAGGATGGCAAAAATGGCTCAATGTTTGGGTATTGCTCCAACCCAATTTATTATCAATCAAATCTAAGTTTTTGTAATTTTGCTTTTGGGCATATCCATACCATTTTTTTTAGTTTGGGTCTAAATGTAACTTATAGTATTGAAAGTCCTAAAGAAAATGGATACTCTATTATAATGCAGTTTTTTCTTATTTTTTTAATATGAAATAAATAGAAAGTGCAAACACCTACATTTTTTTTATTACCCAGGAACCTGAACCCCACGTGACACTTTGTGACAGCGGGTCCTACTAAACCTGAGGGCCACCTTCAATCAGATTCGACGCTAACGGGCCTTCGCCCCCAGCAGCCTTATACCTCTGGGAACACCAACGGGCCTCGTTTGGATTCGAACTTGGGATCTGCAACTCCCAAGCCTTCACTGTTGCAACAACTTTACCGTCAGAATATCTTACCTTTGGTGGTGGAAACACCTATTTTATTTCATGTTCTATTTCTAGATTCATTCCTATGCTATGTAACTTTATATAGCTCCTCATGTCTATCCTCACCCTCCTAATCGAGGGATTTTTCTAGAAATAGTACTGTTTAAAAATAAATCCAAAAATAACACCCAACCCGAAAAAATTCCAAAAATAGCACCATTCTCCCAAAAACCGCCACCCAAACCAGCGGTTAGGCGAAAACGGCCACCCGGGGGCACGTTTTTCGATGAAAACCGCACTCCCACCATGTTGTTTGGTTGTGAACCGCACCCCCACCATGCGATTTTGGTCTTTTTTTTTTTTTTGAAAAATCCTAACCTAGGTGGAAACTTCAAACGAACCTATCTGTGTGTTCGGGTATCCGATCGTCGAGATTTTTTTTTATTCTGCTAACTTTTTGAGATCTTGCAAGCCGCAAACTGCTGTCCCGCCTTCGTCCCGGAAAAATGTCGTTTGCTACCCCGAACGAGCTTTTTTCCGATTTCGTCAAACTTTGGACAACTATAGGTATCAAAACATAGCCCGACCCGATTAACCCGCCCGATCAATCCGACCCGCAACTCGACCGCAACCCGAATTAAAAGTCAACAACCCGTAACCCGCCCGAACCGCAACCCAACTAACCCGCAACCCGACTGACCCGTAAGCCGATTAACCCGAACTCGATTGACCGCAATCCGACTTACCCGCAACCCGATTAACCCAAACCCGATCGACCCGCAATCTGACTTACCCGCAACCCGATTAACCCGAACTCGATTGACCCCAACCCGACTAACTTGTAACCCGACTGACTCAACCCGAACTTCATCTAATCCACTTGAATAATTATTATAATATACAATACATAGTTTTTCAAAATAAAGTTTTTCATTCTAAACTTAAGTAAAATTATTTTTTCATTTCGTATAGGGAATTTAAAAAATATGAAACTCACTTGATATTATGTATTTTAAGAAAATTACAAAAATTGAAACATGAAGGTCACTTGAACAGTAAGTTCTTTAACAAAATTAACAAAGTAAATATAAAATATAAAATCAACATAATGTCAATATTAATAATGAAGAATTAATAATTGAGATCATGGACAATATTAATATAATATATAAATTAAATTTTTGGTTAATTTAACTATTGAATAAAATTATCAATTAAATATAAATAAAGTAAAATAAGTACTTGGTAATTTGATATTTTTAAAAGAAGAGGGAAATTTTGGTGTATTCAACTTTTTGGGAAGAGAAAGAAGAGGGAAATTTGGTTCTCTGAATTTTTTAGAAAAGAAACAAGTGGGAATTTTGTGGTTTTGATTTGTGGGAAGAGAAAGAAGTGGGAAAGTTTGGTTCTTTTGATTGTGAAAGAGAAATAAGGAGGGAAATTTTGAGTTTTCAACTTTTTGTAAAAGGAAGGAAGGAAGAGGAAAATTTGGTTGTTTCAATTTTATGGAAGAGAAAGAGGAGGGAAAATTGAGTGTTTCTAATTTATGGAAGGAGAAAGAAGGAGGGAAATTTTAGTTTTTTTTTTTGTGGAAAGAAAGAAGAAAAAGAATTTGGTGTTTTCAATTTTTTGGTTTTTCAAAATTTTAGCCTTTGAAATATGAATCTTTAACTTTTATATGGAGGGCATGACTAGTTAAATTTATTCTTATATGTTTTGAAGGCTAATATATATATGTATGTAATTGTTTATTGGCTAATAAATAAATTAACCATTAGTTACAACAATTATACTAAACTTGATAAGTAATCTTTGATGGTTCGTTGTTTAGGTATAAAGTATATGGTTAGGGTATAGGGTATAAGGTACAGATGGTTTAGGGTGTATATGGTTAGTGTATAAGATATTGATGGTTTTGACTGTTCTAAGTTTTTTTATTAACATATGTTCACTTGAAGTCATTTGAATTCTTTAACGGCAGGAGATCTCTTTTCAATTTATGTTTATGGTACGTGGTTAGGGTACAAGATATGTGGTGTAAAGTATAGGATATATGGTTAGGGATAGCAATTAGCAAATATCACTTTTTATCTATGTTTTGAAAATCAAAGTATGAATTTCACTTTTAAATTAACTATACTAACAAAATCACAACTCAAGGACATATGGTTAGAGTATAGGCTATAGGGTATGTGGTTAGTGTATAATGTATTGATGGTTTAGGGTATACAATCAACAACATATACTAACTTAATATTGTTGATTGAGGGTAAGTCTAAGTGTATAGGATATATGTTATGGAGTAAGTTATGATTGAAGTCACAATAATTTTACTAAATTTGATAGTTGATGACTTGATATATACACATGTTTTTATCCACCATTCCTGTACCGTTTGAGTCTCATCTCTCGTGTTTTAGGCCGATTTCACGCTAGGTTGTTCTTGTTTGTGATATTTCAGGTCCTAGTACGTGAAAGAAGGTTTGGGCACGAGTTCGAGGTCGATTGGACGAAGTTGGGGCATTTGGCGAAAAGCTGGAAATTCCACGCGGGCAGACCTAAATTCCACACGGCCGAGCGGAATTCCATGACGCGGGCAAGCCACACTGGCCGTGTATGGGACCCCTTGTGGTCGT